ACTATATAGTAGTTATGAATACGGTAGTGACTCACACGCTCCTGTTATATATATACAGTCGCTACCATGAATATCATCTAAGTCTTCTCTCTCCACCGAACGACTACCATCGTCAGCCTATCAGCTACCAAGCTATTACTCAACCTTCAACACTAACTGCCCGGTGAGTTCGCGCTCTTATAGACTTCTAGTGTATACTCACGATCGTCCTTTGTCAGGTTATGAGCCCCACGGGGCGCGGCGGATCCTAGTCCCTCAAGGCAGCTTAGTATGCCATGGGGGGGAGTAATCCCGCGACGGTCCATCCGAAGCGGTTTCCCCCTTCGCCCACTGGTAAACACCAGGGCGGCAGGAATCAAGGGGACACCCTCCTGTCATGTGTGAAGGGCTCTTCCCACATCCGTGAGAACCCATGCACCTTAACCGGTTCGGGTATCGAGCGGCTCTGGAGGGCTAGACCGCTAGTCTACCGCGGACTCGCCTGGGCATGACATAATCCGTCTAGTGTACCCACGCTGACGTTGTCTTTACCCCAGATTCATCAACATGTCTACTTCTGGCAACACCACTCTGTCCCAGGCTGCGCAAATCTGCGGTGTCTACAATGGCACCGATTTCCTCGGGTGGCGCGGCCGCATGGAGAACCACATCCGTGCGTCCGGCGCTGGTTGGGCGCTGCGCGACTCCCGCGTCTATATGCGCTCGCAGATCTCGGACTACGCGGAGAGGAACAAGTGGGAGACCACCAATGACACGGCGCTCGGCAAGATTCGCGAGGCGATTAGCTACGATCAGGCCCAGTACATTCTGACCGAGTCCACAGCCATCGATGCGCTCGCGGTACTTTCGACCAATGCGGGTGCACGTGGCATCTCGACGGCCATCAACGAGCTGAAGACCGCCCTCAACACCCAGATCCCCGCCGACATGGACCCCAATCCGTCCATTGCCAAAATCGTCAGTTCTCTCGACCGATACCAGCATCTCGGCGGCTCGGTATCTAACGAGCTTGCCGGTGCTATCCTCTTCTCTAAGATCCCGGCTGGCTACGAAGCCGCCAAGCACGCGATCAACCAATCAGCCCCTACCCTCAACCTCCTTACGCCGACTGACGTCGTCACTCGCATCCGGTCAGATTGGGAGTTATGCTCCGCGTCGCAGAAGAAGAAGAAGGCGCCTCAGGTGAAGGAGGAGCAGGCCAACAAGGCCAGCTCCGGTACGAAGCAGTACAACGGTCAGTCGTCATCTGATGGCAAGAAGAAGCGACCATCCAAGAAGGAGCGCAAGGAGCATCAGGCGCAGCAGCAACAGCAGCAGCAACAGAAGCCGGCGGCCGCTAACGCGGCTTCATCGTCGACTCCTGCCAGCGCAGCGCCACCTCCGGCGCCGCAGAGTGCCGCACCCGCCGCTGCCAACTACTCGGCGACATTCACAACGCCGGCTCCAATTTACCATGTCGCGCATGTCGCTTCAGGGCCGTCTGGCCCCTCATACTCTCCACCGGTGTATTCCGCGCCGACCCCCAATCCGCGCAAGCGGTCCCACCAACCCGCGACAGCCTATCAAGGCCGAAGCAGCGCTCCGGCGCCCCCTCACGGAACCGCAGGCGCCCTTAAGCGTCAGCGGGACCAGGGCCTAGCGCCCACTTTTGAGGGAACACGCGCCGAGTTGCCCACGTTCGCAGGGGAGACGCCGCTCATCGAGCGGCTCTCCATGGGCCCCTCAGCGTCCCCGCCTCTGTTGGCCCGCATTGAGCCGGTAGAGGAGCCTTCTCGTAAGCCGTCGGTTACCCCTCCGCACGCTTCTGACTTTGACCATTCGTTGTCTGGGTCAGGTCCCCTCAAGCGCACCAGGTTCTCTGACTACAAGAAGCGTCAGAAGCTTGGTGACCGCCTCGCTGGCGGTGGTTCTTATGTTGACGACTCTGCAACCGGCCACAAGGGCTGGCTAAACACGGAGGCGTACGCGGAGTACCAGCAACAGAAGGAGGACCTTCGCCGGTCTATGGCGCCCACCCCGGTCCAAGTTGCCGAGTATGGCTATGAGGACGACATAGAGGAGTTCGAGGGTATGTCGCTCAAGGAGCCGTCCGAACAGGGCGGAGAACGGGCGGTGTCACTCGATTGCGAGTTGGTCTGGTGCGCAACCAGTTTTCTCGATGCCTCTGACAACGTTTCTGGTGCTAAATCCTTTACAGGTGAACCATACGTAGTTGGTAGTTATTCGTCATACATATCTGAAAACGTAATGAATGGACAATGTGTACATTCTAGTACTCAGTGGTGTGACATATGCATTGATAAGGCATTGGTTGTACGCGACACCGACCGTGAGAAGTCTCTTCATGATAAGTTGCATGCACGCTATCCCATTGGATGGGTGCTTGACTCAGGTGCATCCACGCACTTCATGTTCGAACTCTCGGATTTCTCCGAGTATGAGGAACTACCAGAGGAAGAGAAATTCACCGTCTCAACATCGTCCGGATCTATCCGGTGTGAGGGTTCAGGGACAGTTGTCCTTCACCACGAGGATACGTGAGGGAAACCTTGCACGACCCGAATCTACCCCGTTTTCTACCTCCCTGGCGGAACCGTTCGTATGCTTTCGACGGGTCAATTCTGCCGCAACGGGAACATTCTGCACGGAGATGCCGACAAGTTGGTAGTGCTCACTGCCGACAAGTCGAAGGAAGTGGTGCACGCTACAGTGTGCCCTGGGGGGAACCTTTTTTGGGTTCATACATCATTAGATCTGCACCAGGCTCATGTGACTGGTGTTGTCAGAATGAATCTACCCGACTTTAAGATCTGGCACCAACGTCTCGGACATTGTTCGGACGAAGTGCTTCGCTACGCTAGGAAACACGTCGTTGGAGTTCCTACGAGCCTTAGCTTACCCTCGCCGACGATTCGTCGCCCATGCGAGGGGTGCATGCTGGGTAAAAAACACCAGATTCCGTTCCCACCAAACGAACATCGCAGCAACAAGTTCCTTGGATTAGTCCATGCCGATCTCAAAGAGTTCGCAGTCGAGTCGTGGAATAAAAAATACTATGCACTTGTCCTTATGGACGACTGTACATCCTACGCATGGGTCATGCTCCTACGTCGGAAGAGCGAGGTCCAACAAGCCGTAGAGACCTGGTTTAGCATGCTGCTGAATCAATACCACAAAACGATTCGGATGTGGATGAGCGATGCAGGGGGAGAGTTTAAATCGCGATCTTTCATTCAAATGTTAGAAACGCGTGGCATTCGCATCCTCCAATCAACGCCGTACAACCATGAAACCAACGGCCGTGCGGAACGGATTATTCGCACCTTAGACGAAAAAGCTATGGTGATGTTGCATAACGCCAATTTGCCGCCGTTCTTATGGAACTTCGCCATCGAGCACGCATGCCACGTCTACAACAGGACGCCCATGAAACGCCCGAAGGCTGCACAGAGTATTCGTTGGAAAACGCTGTATGAGATTGTGGAAGGTGTAAAACCCCGCGTCGATTACCTCCGTGTTTTCGGGTGCTTGGCGTACGTGTACCTTACTCCTGAGGAATGAGCCAACAAACTTGTTCCAAGATCCCAAGCGTGTATCTACGTCGGGGAATCACCGGCAGGGAACGGGAGACTGTTCCTAACCGGAGAATGGAGGTTACGGGTCGCTGTTAACGCAATGTTCGATGAGCAGACCTTTCCGAAGCGTACCATGTTCTGGCAACGGAACACCAAGCGCTTTACGCGCTTACCAGAGGTGGACGAGCTACTACCACCTAGATTCCCCATCAATGAGAACAGCTCTAGTTCTTCTGGTTCGGATGACGACCGACCATCGTCTCCTGCCGACATGTTTCCTGACCAAGGTGGCAACGGTGGACCTGCTGACGAGCAGCGAAACCGAAGCCCGCCTCCACCGCCAAGGTCAGACACTCCAGACGAGAAGCGTAAAGGGCAACAGCCCAAGGTCGAGGATTACGACGAGGATGAAGGCGAGTTGGAGTTCGGGGAACCGGAACCAGGCGAAGGCTTTGGTGAAGGCGACCTAGATGAAGACGAGCTAGAGGGTTTGTACCAGAATCCGCCAGCAGATGACCCCTCACGAAGGGAACAACAAGACCTTCTGCCGGATCCTGATGAAGAGCCAGCTCCGTTGGAACGCGACACGCGTACATCGCATCGCGAACCAAGGGTGGATCTAAACCCTCGAATTGTCAATCCTGCCGGACCAGCGCCAACTCAATTACGAAGGTCTGGGCGCGAGAGGAACGCGATCGAGGATCCCAACAACACTATACCGGGACGCACCCCGGTAGAGAGACTGAGGAATATCAATCAATGATTAGAGGGGACGGTCTACAAGCGCCAGCGCGGTAATCCTGTGGAGCAGGATCACGATCTTCTCAAAGACAGAGAAGACGCACGCCCGCCGGCAAAATGGCAGAAGACAGGCATTCGCCTCGAATCTGACGTTTTGACGCCTGTCGATCCAAATCTTACCATAGAGGAGGTCGAACAGATGCAGGAACGTTTCAAAAACCTCTGGCAGAGGCATAGAAACCCGACGCCTGATGACCACGACGATGGCCCCACCTCACTCATGGCCCTCGCATCAAGGGAGTTAGAACCCCTTCCGCACGCGTTAATGCGAAACGCAGCGGCGCATATCGCTTCGGCGAAGGAAGCAGCAGCAAAGTTTGTGGATCGTATGCTCCTACACGTGTACGCAGCATCCACGAATCTTGGACCAGACCTCGCAAACGTGAGGGAATGGAAATATGAAGACATAATATCATTGCCCACCGAGGAGTCGGAAGCCTGGATGCAGGCTTGTCGTGACAAGATTGAAGCTCTTGTCCGACGGGGTGTCTTCACGGAAGTTGACCTGCCGCCCAGTCGTAGGGTGATCAGGTGTCGATGGGTATTCGACATAAAAACAGATGGCCGCCGAAAGGCACACCTGGTCGCTAAGGGTTTTTCCCAGCGCGAAGGCATCGACTTCTCCGAAGTCTTCTCCCCAGTAGTGCGTTTCGAAACCGTTCGCACGATACTGGCACTCGCAGCGCTCAAAGGCTGGTACGTCTCTGGCCTCGATGTGCGGAACGCCTACCTCTATGGTGATCTGGATGAGGAGATTTACATGGAGGTGCCGAAGGGGTTTCATACCCCAAACAACTTGCGCAAGGTTTGGCGCTTGCACAAGGCTCTGTATGGGTTGAAGCAAGCCGGTCGCCAATGGTGGCAGGCACTTCGCAAATCCCTAAAGGAGCTGGGCTTCGAACAAATCCAGTCTGATGCTGGTGTTTACAAGTTCAAGCATTGTACTACCAACATGGTCATTGCGGTGATCTACGTTGACGACACTTTGTTCTTTGGGCCGGATCGTGAGGTTTTAATCCGCGTGAAGGCTGCGTTCATGAAACGCTGGGAATGTCGGGATCTTGGTGATACCAAAGAATTCCTGCGCATGCGACTGACCAGGCCCAACTTGATGACTATTCGTCTCGACCAATCGGACTACCTGCGTAAAGTCCTTGTGCGCTTTGGTTACCACAACGCGCGCTCAGCGCCTACGCCACTCCCTACGGGGTACACGGCAATCAAAAATCCAGACCCGGTAAACCCAGAGCGCCGACAAGAGTTCCAAGAGCTCATCGGGTCCCTCATCTATTTGATGATCGGGACGAGGCCTGATATAGCCTTCGCAGTCACACATTTGTCACGGTATGCCGCCAACCCTTCGGAGGACCACCTGAACAGAGCAAAGTACATACTGCGCTACCTAGTAGGGACACAAGATTATTACATCGAGTACAACGGGACTCTGCGGAAAGGCTTTGTTGCCTTTGCCGACGCCGATTGGGCCGGTGATAATTCCGCCAAGTCGACGACCGGCCATGTTTTTATGATGGCAAACGGACCAATATCTTGGTCCTCATATCTTCAAAAATCCGTGGCTCTGTCTACGGTTGAAGCCGAGTACATGTCCATCTCGGACTGTTCTCGCCAGGCCAAATGGTTCGCTCAAATGATGGGCGAACTTGAGTGCCTGCAGATCGGTGCTATTCCGATCGTGGGCGATAACCAGGGAGCCCTGCATAACATTGCGAACCCTGTTACTGAGAAGCGGAGTAAACACATCAACATCCATTATCACTACGTCCGGGAACTATATGAGGATGGTGTCATAGACCTCTTTTGGATCCCGGGCACCGAAAATCCAGCGGACTTGTTCACCAAAAACTTGCCGTTGGTTAAATTTGTCAAGTACTGTCGTGAGATATCTCTCTTCTTCCGGTCGCCATTGCTCAAGCAGTAAAGCGAATACGATTCGAGGGGGGGTGTCAGATTTACGTCTAGTATTCGACCCTTTACGGCTTTATTGGTTCATCCAGAAGCCTCCTGTACGGCGATGTTCCTCCTAGAGGTCTACAAGTAAACATCACCTTCATACGTCTATTCAGGCGCTTAGTATCCCAGTGGTACCTTAAGCGCTTACGCACTCGTGTGGCCCCGCGTCCATTGCATAGGGCCACGTTCTGCTTACGTAGCCATCCTGCATTACCGTGGGATTTGGACTATATAGTAGTTATGAATACGGTAGTGACTTCACACGCTCCTGTTATATATATACAGTCGCTACCATGAATATCATCTAAGTCTTCTCTCTCCACCGAACGACTACCATCGTCAGCCTATCAGCTACCAAGCTATTACTCAACCTTTAACACTAACTGCCTGGTGAGTTCGCGCTCTTATAGACTTCTAGTGTATACTCGCGATCGTCCTTTGTCACACCATAGTGTAATACGTTGTATATATCCCAGACAGACTGGCATGACGAATGAAGTCAGTGTCTTTCCCTCTTCCATATTCCATCTTGAGAGGCCTTCCCCTTCAACTGAAGCCCACCAGTGTATTTAGACCAGCCATTTGACTTTTGTCCCTCATGGAAGAATCAGTGAAGGTTTTGGAGGGGAATCAGTTTACCAACATATGTTTAAGTCGCGTGTCAAAGGACAGAGCTAATTTATGTCGAAGACACAATACGCGAGTATAGCAGAATCCTATGATAGCGCGTACTCACCGGGCTAAGTGTTTGAAGACTTGAGTAAAGCTTGTAGAGCTTGGTTGCGAGTGACGATGGTAGTCGTTCGAGTAGAAGAGACTTAGGAATGTATTCATGGTAGCGACTTGTATATATAGTATACATGGAGCGTGTGAATCTACTACCGTATTCGTAACAAGCCAGCCCTAAACCACGCATAGCATGGACGTCTAGCTACAAGTCCACATGGCCTGGTGCAACAGCAGCGGGCCATGACGAGTCATGAGTACGTAAGAGGCACTTAAGTGTATACACACGTTGAGCGCCGATATAGAACGGAATGGTGGTGTTTACTTGTAGACCTCATAGAGGAACATTGCCTAAGTGATGGAGACTCCCTGGTATACACCAATAGAAGTCGTAAAAGGGTGAAGTACCACTCATACTTTCAACACTCCCCCTCGAGTTGTACTCGCTTTAAACCGACTGATCGGGCT